TAATCAAGCTTTATGGACTTGAGCAGGGCTGAAGTTATACTCCAGCCCAATAAAGACAACAATGTAGGCATCAAATCACATATCTAAAGGCCATTTGCCTGTAGTAGTTCCTATTTATATTAAAATATAAATCTTAGCTGATGAATACATAGAAAATGTTTCCTTTGTAGAAAAGTATGAAATCATTTGGATTTCTGGACCTTTAAAATTCTCATCATAAAGATAAAAAACTATGTAAGAATAATGAAAAAATAGCTAATATTTACTAACATCTTAGTAGATTATAGATAGTACTAGATAGTGATGTATATTTCTGCATTTACAAAAGAAGCAAGAGTTTTTAGATGTTTTATGTAATTTCATTATGCACAAGTAGCATGATTAATCAAGATATATATTCATCATCTGTAATTTTACTGAGAACACAATTGACTTCTACAGGACAGGAGGCAGACATGACCGTGAATTTAGACAATAGACCAACCTCCACATTTCAGAGGGATTTACTTGATTTCTAGTTGTCTTGTGGTACACAGTAAGTTTTTGGTTATTACTTCTGGTAAAAATGGCCCTAAGTAAGAAGTCAAATGTTTTCATTGAATTTTATAAAATTAATTTCCATACTAGAGTGCTATTCCATGGTTTGGGAATTTGTGAAGGTCCGTGGTATCTGTTTTACTATGTGTCCGGTTGTCACTGAGAGAAATCTGGGTACACAGTGACAAAATGTTTTGTCTGAAAGTTTAAATAATTAAAGCACTCTCCCATAAAATAAACTGTTATAAACACATAGCTAAAATGAATCTAAAGCCTTTCCTCTAAGCCTGCAGCTTAAGGAAACTAGCACAGCTAGTTCTGGAGAACTTGGTTGATTCTTTTTCTGCAGCAAGATGTGGATTTCACAGCACATTTCTGAAAGCCGTTTGCAGTTCATAGTTCCTACCCTGCAATGTGGGGATTTTCTCATTAATCTCTTCCTAGAGATTAAATTAACACATACATTCTTGGTATTTATGATCCAACTAATGAGTTCTCCTCCTTCTTGACTGCAGATTATTTTTCTCCTCATTTCAGGAGATAATCTAATAATTTAATATCATAATTATGGTTCCCCTTTGCCCTCCCTAGCTCAGATGTAGAGATTCCCTCCCAAATTCATTTTTAAACTATGATTTAGTAACTACTGCACAGCCAAAATAAAATGAACTTCTCTTTGCTCATTTAGCTGCATGTTCCCTGACCAAATGCTCATTTAGAATCATGACTAGCTCTTATGATTCATAAAGAAGTCTGCTGGTCTTCTAACTTTTTCAACCAAACTGAATTACATTTTACCTCATTTCTGAATTTCAGCTCCAGAATATATTTGATGGACAGCTGAAGCAAATTTGGCTGTAGTCATGCTGTATAACTATGTTTAATACATGCTTCCTTTCTCTTACCATGTGAATGTATATTCACAGATACAGCAGCAATGAGTTCCCCCCAGATCTCCAGGACAATCCACGGAAAACAGAAGAGATGGCTAGAATGGAAGTTAAAAGGTTTGAGAGAGGACAACCTGCCTCCTCTTTCTAGAAGACAATGCCAAGTTTGTAGCAAGGCTCTGTCTAAAGGGGCTTTCTGCATAGAAATTTTTGTTAAGTTTATTTAGTAGGCCTAGAAGGAAAATTATCAGGGAAAATGATGTCAGGATCTTTATAACTGTGCTCTCTTCCAGATAATCCCCTAACTCACTGCTTTGTAGATACGGCCAAAGGGTTTCATAATGGAAATGTTATCTGCAGCCAATACAAAGAAACTTGCTTTATCCATTATATACTGGTGGAAATTTTGAGTATTTTGAGTATCGACCTCTGAGCACAGTTAGAATTTGTCTGTTTTTACAGAATCTCATTCTGTCTCCCAGGCTGGAGTGCAGTGGCGCAATCTTGGCTCACTGCAACCTCTGCCTCCTGGATTCAAGCAATGTTCGTGCCTCAGCCTCCCCAGTGGCTGGAATTATAGGCGGGCACCATCACACCCAGCTAATTTTTTGTATTTTGGGTAAAGACAGGGTTTTCCATGTTGGTCAGGCTGGTCTTGAACTCCTGGGCTCATATGATCCAAGAGTGTTGGCATGACAGGTGTGAGCCACCATAACAGGTTGGGTTAAAAAAAAATTTAATTGCTGCATTTTAACCTGAATTTTCAAAAGCCTGTTTCTGTTTACAAAACATACACACAACAATTATAGAATATTTAGAAATGCAAAAGAATAAAGGAAAAGTCAAAATTATCCATAATTCTATCCAACCAGTTATATAATTGGCCCCTACCACACATATTTTGTCACTGGTAGGCTGAACAAGCAAGTTCATATAATGTACCAAAAGCAATAGAACTTTGTTTCCCACTACCCTTTCAAAAATACCAACAGAGGTTCATTATTCCTGAAACACCTAAATAAAAAGTTGGACTGTCCTACTATTCCTGAGTACTGATAATAAAAAGTCCTATAATCAATTTGAGTTAGCAGTCTTAAATAAGTAATTAGGTTTCCTAGTCTCACCATGATCAAAATTCTACTCTTCATTAAAAATTTTATCTTCTTACCCCTCCACCAGCTCAGGTCTGCTTTTGGGGAAGGGGTGTGGTCTATTATTTCCTTCCCCATGTATAACGATAACTCTCACCTATCTGGTGTTGGAGAAGCCTTAGAAATTAGAGGTTCAATGGGTAGGATTTTTCTTATGTTACTGTGCCTGTCCTACGGGAGCTTCACACCTTGTGGGGCTCACAGATGTTTAAAGCTGCCTTTGGATCTCCTGGGCATTTGTGAATTAATTGAAGCAGTACCTACTGCAATTTACTGTATCTAGACAAATGCAACTTTAATCTGGCAGGTCAATGTTTAATGAGTCACCATTACAAGTGGCAATTTTCCACAGGCATGAAGGTAGACCACACTGGTTGTGCATCACATGAGCTTATGTCTGACTCATGGGAAATGCACATATACGTTTCTGCTCTCTACTTACAGGATGCAGGCAAGTCCCAACATACAGGGGCTTTTTTGCATTTATTTATTAAGTGCTTAGCAAACCCATCTTTAGGTTTCTCAGATAAAATCAGACACCAGACTACCATGTCCCCGACACTGCAGGGGATAGACATTAAGCCCTCCATGTAGTTTCATTGAAGCTCCAGTCACCAGGCCTGCAGTTGAACTTATCATAAATCTCCAAAATTCCTCTTCATAAAATCTTCTTTCCACAATCTCCAAACCTTTTCTACCTCAGATATGAGTGAGAGGCTTAATAGTCTAACCTGCTTTTAATTATTTCCTTTAAAATATTGATGCTTAGTAGCTAACTTTGAAATATTCACTCGTCTTTATCATGGAATCCTAGCTAAAAGTTCTAATTTAACCTCTTAATTATCTATTGATGTATTCTAGCTCCCCCGACTTCACTCCCCACACACAAGTATATATATGCATTCAAGACTTGGGATCTGAAATCAGACTGCCTGGGTTGAGAGCCTGATTGTTTCATTTCACTAGCTCTTTGTCTCTGAGCTAGTCACTTATTCTTTTTGTGTCTTACTTCATTTATAAACTGAAGATAATAATAGTCCCTTCCTCAGCAATATGAATATTTTGAAGATTAATATGATAATACATTTTAAAAATGCTTCAAAAATTATCTAGCACATGTCATTAATAATGTTACCTTCACAGGCAATAATAAAATCATTAGTATTGTAATTATTATAAATGCTCTCTTTATCACTTTTTTGATTTATGAGGATTTTTACATGTCATTAAATATTCTCCTTTACATTGAATTGTGATACCATATTCAGCTGTATAAAGGCAGTATGATTTCTAACACTAAACTGGACGTATATATCATTTCTAATATTTTGTCACATCACAGTCACTATGTTATCACCTTTGTGTGCTCTTCCTCACCCCAACTTTGTTGTGTGCTCTTCCTCACCCCAACTCCTGATTGAACAGGAATTTCTGGGTCAAAATATGATTATTTTAAGGCATTTAATACATGTTAAAATTATCCAGCAAAAATTTAGTATCACTGTGTATTCTATTTTCAAGAGTATCTTAAAATTTCGGCCTGCCTAATCTACTATTAGATACTGATTTAAGAATGAGAGTATGATAGGAAGATAATTAAAAAAAAAAAAAGACATAGGATGCTCTCTTGTTTCCTAATAGAGTGTGTCAAGAGATTCCTGGAAATGATTTGGACCTGGGAATTAGCAAAGCTCATTTGAGGTTGAATGAGGAGAAATCCAATATATCTTCAGAACCAGAGAGTTCTGCTGACATAACCACACTATTTTTTTTTAATAGAAAAAGGAAATGAAGTGAGAATGAGCAGTAGTGCCTATCTATTGTGGTGGTTTATCATCAGAAACTTAGATTGAACTGCTTTAATTATGTAAATGTATCTTGTGGATGAGTGTTAATAAACTTCTATTCAAATAAATCTAAATTCCGCTTCTCTTAGCATATATTTTAATTAAAATCCTGAGCATAGTAACTATAGTTATATAGTTGACAAAATAATCACTAAAAGGTGTAAATCATCTAAATACTTGTCTAACATAGAGAACATGGTAATTAGTCCATTTTGATAATAGATTAGAAGTTTCACATATGTCAAAAGATAAGAATGTTGTGGTCTCATTTTCACCATTCCAGATAGGTACCATTATGAAGACTATGCCAATTTTATTGAGGTCCCATGAACTCAATGTTACCTGACTTCAGATATTTTCTCTCTATAGAAATAAGGGCACAAACATATTTTTCTTAAATGTCTCAATTTAAAATGTTCTAATGTAGAAAACCATCTTTCTGTGATACTCTCTGCCTCTATCTCTTTTTCTTCCTTTCTCTCTCTCTCTCTCTCTCATGCCCACAAAAGCATATAATTCCATCAAAACAAGGCAAAATATTCACCCACCCACTGAATAATACCCATTAGACGAACCTTATAAAGCAGCGGCAATTTTCCTAATTTCAGGAGTGCGATCCGATTTGTTACATTTTTCATTTTCCTAATCCTTTTTAAATCATCTGCCATTCCATAACTCACATCAATGACTTCAGCCTGAAAGAGGAGAAGAAAACAAAGAAAAATAATGTATTGGAGGAAGAATTATAGCCAATCGTCCATCTAGTATAACAAAATTATTCATAATAGTTTGTAATGTTCAATATAGAATTAATTCTACCTCCTATACCCTGTCCCAATTACCATAAACATGACCTTTCTATTTCAATCCAGGTACAACAATTCTTCTGGGCACCTGAGAAAATGTGCGAGTCATTTTTGCTTTGCCTTCTCTTGTCTAAAAATTTACAAACACAGTTCATTCTTCTAACAGACTACATTTGGAATATTCTACATTCATGTTTCTGGAATATGAGCCATTTTATGAAACACTGGAAGATTAATTTCCTTAAGGTTCAACAGCAATTATATAATTCGCAGGCTTGAAAGAAAATTTAAAAGTTTTCTACTGCTATTTAAATGAAGTGCAATGTCCTCACTTCCACGGTCATCATGAACACCTGCTCACGATGGCCACGATTTAAGGCTGTGCAACAGCCAGCTTTGAATGAACAATCCTTGAGCTGTGCAGAATACAACCTGTACAACCGCATGTGCCAGCCTAGCAACCCAGGACTTTAGAATACGGCCCCAAATTATCATCTTTGTCACATTTCCCACTATTCATCTAGAGTCATCTTATATTCAACTTCACTGTTACTCATTTTTAAAAGTCCTCTTGTGTTAATGCAAAAACAAATCTCATGCCTTTCTGGAGATTCCAATAAAAACCTTCTCATGCAGTGAATCCTTTCCTTCTCCTTGAGAAGTACTGAACTGCAGATTCATATATTCCTATGAATCAAGCCTACTTTCTGTAATATCTATTTATTATTAAAGCAATAGTTGTTATGCTTTCCAGTGATTATATGATAATGTAAATCTGGTATTTCAAATTATAGCATATATCCACAGAGAGGCTGATTTAAAAAAGTTAGTCATGGTAAATAATGGAAAAATGAAGATGGAGAATCCAGATCTGGAAGTTTCCATCCTTCTCAATTGAAACTAATGCACTTCAACAAGTTTTATACATAGTATTTCCATAAAAGATTCATCTGAGGAAAGAGTATTGCTTCTATAGAAACATATGAATACCACCAAATGACGGGCAAATCTGTTAGAGAAAACATTTCTGATGTGAAATATTTCCTTAGCCATCACATTCATCTGTATCTGTAAAAAGTCTACAAATACGCTTAAGTCCATTTCAAATGTACCTACCTGATGAATTTTATTTCTCAGTTGCCCAAATATGGCCTCCCTCTACTTTGGCTACCAAAGTAATCTGTTTTTGCCTCTGTTAAGGCCCTCACTAGACACGTCTGCCAATTTCAGTTTGCAATACAGGCAAATTCCTTGGTGAAGAGCCCATTACATACTCATGCTCACCCAGGTGTCCAGCATATGCTACAGACTCAGTAGCTCTTGAACCAAAATGATTACAACTCTTACACTATCTCTGAAAAGTTAAGCTGTACTTTCAAATGGATTTGCCAGGGTAATGTAATTGTTAAAAGCACTTATGTCAGAATGATTTTTCATTTTAATTTTATTCATATTAAAATATGATTAAATCAGTGCCTTTAATATAATTTTTTTAGTTTGCTGATACCATTACCATATAAATAACTGTTCATATATGATTTTAAAAGTCTGATTAAGTAAATGATCACATAATATTAACGATTACATTATAAAAGTGAGAAAAACTTATAATTTCCATTTCATTTCCAAGCTACCTACTAATTATTTGTGATTCAGTGACAGCGCCTTATAATAAAGCTATTACTAAATTGGTTATATAAACAAAAATCTTTTTTATATGTAGTAGAGGTTAAGAAAAAACTTACTTGTTTGAGAACATATAAATCAGTTTGTATATACAGACATACGTCAGAGATATTGCAAGTTCAGTTCCAGACTACCACAATAAAGCAAATATTGCAATAAAGTGAGTCACACAAATGTTTGGGTTTTCCAATACATGTAATACTTATGTTCACACTATATTGTAGTCTATTAAGTGTGCAATAGCATTATGTCTAAAACAAAATATCCTACCTTAATTTAAAAATATTGATCTGAGTTTTCAGTTCATTTTTTTTTCTTCTTTGCTAGAGAAAGATTTTGCCTCATGTTGGTGGCTGCTGACTGATCAGGGTCACAGTTGCTGAAGGTCAGTGTAGCTTTTATAATTTTTTTTTGAAATAAGACAACAGTGAAGTTTGCCACATCGACTGACTCTTCCGTTCATAAAATATCTCTCATGACATGCTGTTTGATAGCATTTTACACGAAGTAGAACTCCTTTAAAATTGGAGCCAATTCCCTGGAACCCTATGCTTTAGTGAACTAAATTTACATAGTATTCTAAATCCTTTGTTGCCATTTCAACAATGTTCCTGGGAGTTGGAAAGACAGAGTCTAGGAGCAGATTCCACCTCAATAAACCACTTTCTTTGTTCATCCATAAGAAGTAACTCTTCATCCATTCAAGTTTCATCAAGACATTACAACAATTTAGTCACATCTTCAGGTTCAACTTCAGATTTTAGTTTTCTCGCTATTTCTACCACCCCTGCAGTTAACCCCTTAAAATCTTGAACCCCCCAAACTCAGCCATGAGGGTTGAACTCAATTTCTTTCAAACTCCTGTTAGTGCTGATATTTTGACCTCCTTTCATGAACCACAAATGTTCCAAATGGCATCTAAAATGGTGTATCCTTTCCAGAATGTTTTCAATATACTTTCTCAGATTTATCAGAGGAATCACTATGTAGGGCAGCTACAATCTTACAAATATATTTCTTAAATAATAAGACTTGAATGTTGAAATTACTCCATGAGTTAAGGGTTAAAGGATGGATGTTGTGTCAATAGTCTTGAAAACAACATTGATCTCCTGTACATCACCATCAGAGATCTTGGGTGACCAGGCACATTGTCAAAGAACAATAATATTTTGAAAGAAATCTTGTTTTCTGAGCAGTAGTTCTCAATGGTGTGGTTGAATATTTTTATTGAGTAATCCATGTGTAAACATATTTACTGTTATGCAGTCTTTGTTGTTCCATTTCTAAAGCACAGCAGGGTAGACTTAGCATAGCTATTAAGGGCCCCAGAATATTTAGAATGGCAAATGAGCACTGGCTTCAACTTCAAGTCACCAGCAGCATTAGATCCTAACAAGAGAGTCAGCCTCACCTTTGAAGCTTTGAAGCCCAGCCTAGACGTCTTCTCTCTAGTTATGAATGTACTAGGTAACATCTTCTTCCAACCTAAGGCAGTTTTGTCTACATGGAAAATCTATTGTTTAGGGCAGCCACTTTCACTAATACCTTAGCTAGGTCTTACAGATAACTTGCTGCAGCTTGTGTATTAGAACTTGCTGATTCACCCTGCACTTTTATGTGATGGAGATGGCTTCTTTTCTTAAACCTCACAAATCAACCTCTGCTAGCTTCAAGGTTTTCTTCTGCAGCTTCCTCATCTTTCTAATGAGGAAGTTAAAAGAGTTAGGGGCTTGCTCTGGATTAGGCTTTGGCTAAAAAAAAAAAATTGTGGCTTGTTTGATCTTCTATCCCAATCACTCAGACTTTCTTCATATCAGCAATATGGCTGTTTTGCTCTCTAATTATTCATGTGTTCACTGGAGTAGCATTTTTAATTGCCTCCGAGGACTTTTTCTTAGCATTCATAACTTGGCTGTTTGGCACAAGAGACCTAGCTTTTGGCCCGTCTTGGCTTTTGACCTGCCTTCCTTATTAAGCTTAATCGTTTCTTTTTATTGACAGTGAAAGACATGTAACTCTTCCTTTCATTGGAACAATTAGAGCCTATTGTAGGATTCTTAATTGGTTTCATTTCAATATTGTTTTATTTCAGAGAATAGGGAGGCCCAGGAGAGGGAGGGAGAGGGGAAATGCTGCTGGGTAGAGCAGTCAGAACACACATAATATTTATTGAATCAGTTTGCTATGTTATATGGGTGCATTTCCTGGTACCTCAAAACAATAACAATGGAGAATGGTAACATCAAAGATCACTGATCACAGGTAACTCTAGCACATATAACTATAATGAAAAAGTTTGAAATGTTGTGAGAATTATCAAAATGTGATATAGAGATGTGAGCTGAGCACATGGTACTGAAAAAAATGGCACCAACAGACGTGCTAAATGCAGGGTTGCCATGACCTTCAATTTGTAAAAAACATAGTATATGTGAAGCATGCTAAAGTGAAGCACAATAAATCCAGATATGTCTGTATATCAGAAAGGTATGACAGTTACAAAAATGCCAATTCTTCAAAAGACGTTTACATGATTGGAACATATCAATAGGCTGATTCAACAATGATAATTTTGATTAAATAGCTCTTCAATTCATCTTCTCTAAATAGTGCATGTTAAAAAATCAAGTGTTTTAGCATGTAAGAGAATTTTTAGTTTTCCCCACAAAAAATATTTCTCAATACAGACAACATTATATCAATTTATTTTGGCTTATGCAGTAAAAATCAATAATTACATAAGTCTCAATGTTCTGGTGGTTTCGCAGGCAATGATAAAAATGTATCCATTGCCTTTAAAGGAAGCCTTAAAACTAGATCCTTTTTGAAAGTCTTTTCTATTTGCCTTCAAGCAAACTGAACATCACAGCTGCAGGAAAACACATTAAATTTTTCTGAAGCACAAATCAATATACAACGATATGATAAAATGCCAAGCCATTTCTTTCCACATATACTTGTCGCTACAATGAACCTCTTCTTTCTGCATTTATTCAGTCACACTAGAAAATTGTTCACTCAGCTAGTTGGAGTACTATGTTTAACTTATAACCAAACACCAATGATTAAGACACCTCTTACTGGTCTCTATGGGAAATGTCAAACGAACAGAAATCTAGGTACCTGAGCTATCCATTCTGTGCATACCACAGTTTTTCTAATGAGGATTTCCTTGGCACATAAGAGAGAGTAATTGAGAG